GGAAAGAGTTTCTCTCAAAGACCACAGTAAAATAAAGTTATGGTTACCTACATTGCAACTTTTTTGTATGCAGGAAAATAGAACGATGGGATATTTAAATGAAATACTGATAACTCATGATCATGAGAGAACACACGCACACACACACACACTTCTACTTGTATTGTCATACTTAAAAATAAAAAAAATCTTATCGAGACATGCTAACCTTGGTATTTCATCTTCTTCCCATTGAAAAAATGTTCCCATGACGGAATTTTCTGGCACCCAATTTTTGTAACATCCAATTATACTTGATACATCACCTAAGAACAGAAAAATAATGAAATAAATTAGTTTATCAATTCTTTCATGTTTTAGTTGACTATTTAATTTTCTCATTAAAAGATTATTTTGTACTATTAGGCCAAATCCTTTGAAAGAAGGAAAGAAATGTGATGTGTGACATGCTTCTAAAAGTAACTACACAACTCTAGGCTACAGCTAACTTTCTATACACTATGCACAGTTTTATGTGGACATTAAAAAAAGAAAACTAATATTGTTAAAGCATGTTGTGAATACTCAGCTGCTGTGTTAGTTATGTATTTTCCTACACTCCTTTTCTTTCTTTTTAAGTCAGCTTCAAGGGAAATTATTTGTCGTCTTTGAACTAAACTCAAATCTCGAAGGATTCCCAAATGTCTGGGGCCTCAGCACAGATTCCAACAGAATTTACATACAAAATAAACACTCAAAACATTACTTAGCATTTTTCTTCTTCCTTATTCCCTGAACTGAAAGAGAATACAATGTATTCCAGATGCAGTAGCAGTAGAAGTAAGTGGAAACCCACAGGGAAAGCAGCTGCTGTCTGACCTGCAGATAAAAGTCTGTAAGTTTGCTCAGAGATCTTGGTTTAAGAAAGTGTTCCAGGGTCATGCTGGGTAAGTCCCCTCTGAAGATTTACTACCTCCCCTGTGGTTTCCTTCTGGACCATAACTCTTCACAGGAAGGGAAGATGAAGTGCACACAGGAAGTGCAAAAGAAGAAAAGAGCCTGGCAACAGCAAAAACACATTCTAAAGATTAGCGAGGTTTCCCACCCTTATAGTTAAGATCAACTAGAACTTTGGATTCTCTCAACCTCTAAGCTCGTGTCACAGTTCAGTGCGATTTTTTTTTGCATTTAAAATTTACCTTGTGACAAGAAACACCAAAAATCAAAATCTTTCCTATATTATCAAAGATATATCAATTACCCAAGAGATAAAAAAGAGTCAGACCCTTGGGCATTAAGATGAACGTAAATGCTTATTTTATTCTCTTCAAAACTAAATCCACGTTCATGCCTCCCCACCATGAAACACTGCTTCAATCATACGTGTTTTCATGAACATAAATTTGTTTGTGGAGATTTGACATTCAAACTAATACCCTTCTCCCCATTCCTGGACTGAACACTGCCGCTTTGAGGGGCTCCAAAAGCACATGGCCAGACAAAAGATCTTCAGTGGGTTCATAGCAGGAGGCTCAGATGGACAATGCAGCCTTTCCTAGTAGGAAAGAGGAAACAGGTATTCCTGCTTCTTCCTATATAGGCAGGCAGGGGCTGAGGACACAGCATTCCCAATACCATATATCTGCCTTCTACAGTTTCTAAAATTTCACCTACTTCTTACAGAGCAGTGGCTTGTCTTTGGAAACAATCTATATTGTTTTCTCATGCGTACTTGGAAAGAGAACTAATATTATCACTCCCTTCCAGGAGAGCCTTTTCAATACCAACTCCCAGGGAAGAAGAAAGAGGTATATGCTGCATTTGATTAACCTCACATTCCTCTCCTGTCCTAACCTCATTCAAGAAAGGATCTCTGACATTTAACAGTGGACGAATAGTACAGGACAAACAAGACAAAGCACAGCCTTTTCATTGTCCCCTTCAATGGATTCATTAAAAAGGGAAACTCAGTAGACAAAAGAGGCACTGACCCTCCCTGTCTGTAGCAAGGGAGAGAGAAAAATAAGGTCCCAGATGAATGGTTTCCACAGGTAATGACAACCACCAGACTTTCCTAGGTCACCTACAAGCTAAATATAGCACTTGAAAAGTTGCTTTCTTCACTGTCTTTCCCACATCCAGATAGGCATCTCTCTGGCAATGAAGAGAGGAAGAAGAAACAAAATATTCTCTACAACCTGTGCTCTTGCCTCTGGGAGATTTGGAAAAGTTACAAGTGCCTCTGATCCTGCTTCTTTCCAAAACCCTTCCCTCTGAAGAGTCCCTCTTCTCAACTTGGTTTCTCTCTTCCCGCTGCTCCATTCATAAGAACAGCAGCAAGGAGACAGGTTTATTGCTGAGAATGGAAAATTTTCAAAAGCTCTCAATATTTTTCTTAAAAACAGATGCGTAACTGAGACTTCACATGTCAAATGTTTTTGCATGTGTGCATGTGCTTGCATGTGTGTAGAAAGAAAAAAAGAAAAAAGAAAAAAAGTTAAAGACATACTATTTTATGGAAATAACTTGTAGCTACCCATTTTAATTCTTGTTTTGTTGCTATATATTTATTTATATGAATTTCATTTTTAAGTAGCCTAATGAATGATGGTTGTTATTTTTCTAAATGGGAACAGTATCTCAGCCATTTTATTTCTCCTACTTCCCTGTTCATATCACAATACTAAAAGGCACTCAGATTCACAGCACGGACTAATTACTTGTGAAATATGATGTCACAATTAGAAATTACACAGAAGTATTACATGCCAAACTGATTTTTCCAGTGAAAATTAAATATTCCTCCCTCGCTCAAATTTTGAGTTTCAAATTTCAGGTTGCAGCAAACAGTAGTATAATGAGACAGGGGTACAGGTTATAGCCATGTTGGTCTAAGGACATAGGCAGACAAGGTTCTTTGGGTAAATCTGATATTTTTTATTAAACCAACTCAAATGGTTGGAAAAATTCTTCTTTATGAAATGTATTTATACCCAAAAGCTTGCAAAGAAGAGTTTTTCCAACTATTTGAGTTGGTTTAATAAAAGATAGCAATTTACCAAAAGAACCGTGTCTGCCTACTATAATGAGAAGCGTTTTTAAATTAAAAAGTTGTTTGTCAGTGAATTTAGATAAACTAGCTATAAAACTTCATGAATGTGACACTACAGTAAAGAATTACTTTTGGTTGATCTACAGCAGAAGTGGCAGATCAAATGCTGAAACATATTTAACTTAATGAAATTAATCAACCATCCTCTGATGAATTCCTCAACTAAGGATCCCTGTGATACAAGCTGAAGATGAAAAGATTTTTTTTACAACTTCTGGCCAGAGACCAGGTATATAACTCTAGTGACTTGATAATCAAACTACAACCAAAGGTAACATACCTATTTGCAGGGCAGATTGGAGTGTTGGGGGGGTGGGAATGCAGTGGTACAATTGCACTTCCCTTTGATTCCTGCTCCACCCAAACTTTAAAACCAACTGCCTGGGAGGGGCAGTGGCATTTCTATTCAGGCAATGCTGAGAGAGACTCAAGTGACTTCATGGCTCATTATACTCTACCTGATTCCAGCTAAGGTCTCTTCATTCCATAAGTGTTAACCATACTCTCTCCTTTTTAATGGTTTTGTAGTTCCACTATTTAAACTATTCTTTCTTCAATTTTGCTGTCTAATAGCCATTCCTGGCAATGTCTCTGTTGTATTTTATAGCCTACAGGCTACTTTTAGCTCTAGCTGAAAACTTTAACTCAGGTGCAATAATCTTAACTCAGGTGTAGAAATGACTGATAGTGAAGTATTGGAGGCACTGTGAAAACACTCAAGACAAGTAGATTTTGTTTTACAAATTTGACTATAAGGACTATAGGACTAAAGTCACTATCTTTTGACTACAATGACCATTTTGGCCTACTTCCTTGTGTTTTTTAAATTTTATATATAATCTAGCAAATTAGTGAACATTCTGATACCTATACTTATTTTTGCTTTGATCTTAAACTGAATAATCTAGTGCCAGGCTCTCAGCATAATCTAAAGCTTTTAGCTCCTCTTGCTAGGGTCATCTGATCCCAGTCTTTCCTGCCCAAGGGCAGGGGGGCTGGACTTGCTGATCTGTAAGGTCCCTTCCAGGCCCTAATAACTATGAAACTGGAGAAAAATATGTATCATGTTCTATGTGATAATGTAACAAACCATCTGCATCCTCCTTTTGAAAAGCCTAGATCTACCCATGTCTGTTTGGACATTTATGTAACAGATTACACATTTTAAGTGTCCATTTCCCCTTCTACTCTTCTCCTTGAGCTCTGGACACACATAAAAATAAGTACAAGAAGCATGAGCCAAAGGAAGACTCTGATAGAGAAAGCAAAGGTATTAAAATAATAGGCACATGGCACAATTAAGTCAATCTAAACTATGGCAAAATCTGATCTCTAAGGGTATGTACGTAAGAAGTTTGTTCCCCCCCCTGCCATTTAAAGCGCTTTATTGCCATGACTTAACAGAAGTGCACAACTTTACAGCACTTTAAAAATAGTTACAACACTTTAAATTAACCCTTGTTAAATTGAGGTATTAAAATTTGAAACAGTGTATTTTACAGCATTTCAGCAACATACAGTGCTTTAAAATAACTTCTGTACGCTGGTGAATGGTGTGCTGTTTGAAAATGGTGGTTCAAACCTACAGAATAAATTCTTTGGTTTTGAGAAATCAACACCTTACTTTTTCTCCTTGCCTTTCTGAATTTGACAGCAGCCAGGTTTATTAAATTCATTCCATACAGGTTGTAGTCTATAAAGAGTTGAAGGAGGTAGGGAATATGGGCTTCATGAGGCTGGTAAGATTTATTCATTATGGCTCCACCTTGCAGCAGCTCGCATACTCTAAAATTAAAAACAAATTAGACTATTGAAAAGTAATTTGCTTTAAAATTCCAATAAATAAATTTTAAAGTTTTCCATTTCATTTTAGCAACAATATTAAAGCTACCAGCTTCTTACTAAATTTTGATTTAATAGATTTTCTTAATGAAATTGGTCTGTTATAACAACAACAACCACCCAGCATCTGAAAAGTAAACACAAAGGTATAAGCTTACAGTTATAAAAATAATGCTACAGAACTAACATACCACAAAGCAGCAGTCCTAGGGTCTGACTTAAGACCCACAGGGAAATCTGACTTCAGTGGCCTTATGGAATGGAGGTTCCTAAAGAAATGCAGCGAGGCTGCTCCAATGCTTTTTATGAAACAGCAGCAGGCACTGACCCTGTTTGCAGCAAGGGGCAAACACTCCAGCACATTAATCAAGTCTGCTGGAGTGTGGTAATTATTGCGCTCCAGCAGACTCCAGCGTCACATGTATCAGCATCCCTGCACTGAAGAATGGCAGCAGGGGGGTTTGGCTCTTGAAGCTGCTCTAATTAATTACTCCCCACCCCAACACACACACACACACACACACACACACTCTCCTGAAGCATATCTGTAAACGTTCTGTATCTTTGAAAGTCTCCCCAGTTTCCTTTGCCATTTTAAAAACATGCAGATTCTTTTTTAATCTGTTACATGCAAACAACGAGTTTTAATAAAGCAACCATTGTGAAGCATGACATACCTGCATACAAACTGATCTTTAACTATCTGCATATTAAAAATACCATACATTTATCTGAATAATAATAAGTATGTGCTTAACTTATCTGAATATAAGAATTATGCCTATTCAAATGTGTTGGGTACATTTATTAAGACAACAAAAAACAATAAAAGGTTATTTCCAGAAACCAAAACTGGGACATTAATGGAAGGAACTATGGCAAAGTAATAGTACAATTCAAATATGAATAAACAAAAATTTCAATGCATGTTCCCATAGCAGATATAACAGTTATATAACACCTGCAGAAACCTTGCAAAATTCTATTAGACTATTCACACCATGTTAATAATGGTTGGATAATTTTCTGATCATAATTAAAGCTTCTGCGAGACCAACATAATTATATAAATGCTACACATACCCAAGGGCTTTTAGTTACTCAGGTATAAACACAGAATTTGCAGATTTTTGCAGTTAAACTCATCTTGATATTAGATTAAGAATTCATGTCAAGTTACCTGATTTTTCAAATAGATTTTAAATTCAGTGATCAATATGAAAGTTTGAAACATCTTAAATGCATCACATAATATCTGAAAGATTACTAAAACTCATTCCCATTTTAAAAGTTCATTGATTTAAGAGTTATCGCCTCAGGTGATTTTACCGTTTTTAAACTGCAGACTACTAACCACAGCCACATGTCAGGTCCCTTACGTTAAGTTATTCCTTAAGTAAGACTACGGAGACACACTTAAACATAGGTATTTTCTTAAATATTTTCTTATGAAGGATCAAAATTAGTACCACTGTTTTAGTTTAAAATTACTTCCTAAGAAGGCATGGAACGTGTTCATACAGCACAGGGAGAGTTACAGAGGGATTTATTTTACCTTTTCACCATTGCAGGATCATAGAGATAGATCTTCATAAACCGTCTCTCCTTTTCATGATAGCCATAAAAAGGCCTACGGCAGAAAAAAAAAAAATCAAAACAAATATTAAGCTGTTAGAATTGTTGAAGGGATTTAGCATTTGAGCAAGCTTAACACTTGTTAAAAATTCAGAAATTGCCATTAAGAATAACACACAGGATAACCAAAATATATATCCTGCCACCCTAAAAAACATTTTATTCCAAATGCACTGTTTAACATGAAATTCCCATGAATATAACTTCATTTTGCATAATCCCAACTCCAACCTAATATAGATTTTTGATAGGTAGTAGCAAGGTATTTTGCTTGGCACATGCACCTTGGGGTGGGTGGCTGGGAGCCACAATGGGCCTGATCCTTGTGCCAATGCAGCCCAGGTTCTGTGGGCTGCAGCCTGGACCCACTGTGGCAGGCAGCTGGGAAGCTGCAAGCAGCTGTGCTTTTTGAGCCCTGGCCCAGCTTGGTGGTGGTGGTGGGTGCACGCACACCTCAGAGCAGACAGCGGGAAAGGGGCTGGGGCTGCGGTGCCAGAGCAAGGATCAGGCCCCTCACAGCTCCTTTGCTGTCTGCCAAAGGCATCTTACAAGTTGAAGTTGCAGGTGTTTTTGGCACTCTGCCCAAAAAAGTTGCTGACCCCTGGTCTAATGCATATAAAATGCATGCTACAGGTATAGTTGTGAGCATATTGATGTTTTGTGAATTGCATAACAAATTATATATTTACATATTACTATATTGCAATTGTATAGTTATGTTAAAGTCTCTGAGACGGACACAAGAAACAAAGCACTAGCCTTTGGAATGTAATGAGCATATGCAAATGCGAAATCTGCAGTGCATGCTAGCTTGTGAAGTATGTTTGATTGAGAAAGAACTTAATTTATGGGGCAGTGAGCACCACCCAGTGTATAGGAAGCTAGATGAAGATAAGGAACCCTTTTTAGCAACCAAACTTTTCCCAGAGTGTTAAATCTTGTGAAATTGGCATATCCAAAGTACTACAAAGGAACTGATTTAAATTGGTTCTCAAGGGCCCAACAAACTAAGCCTCTCCAGAGTTCCAACTTTTACCCTAGACTGCGGTGCTCAATCCCTGGCTCAGGAAGCCATAGCATCCAGCCTGCAGGACTCGCCACAGGTTGGGAATAGCAGCATGGAACAGTGTCAACCAATACTGTCACCCTTCCGCACTGCCAAATTCCCAAGCCCTGCATGGCCAGATCAGGGCCCAGTCACACCCTCTTCCCCCATGCAGCCAGACAGGGGCTGGGGTGCCCTCCAACCCATTCTGCGGGGCTAGATCAGGCTCTGCCAGACCTGTCCCACATGCTAGATTGGGCCCATCAACTGGATCCAGCCCACAGAGGGACTGGACACTGCTCATCCAGCCTGCACGGTCAAAAAAGATTGAGCACCACTGTCCTAGACCGTAAGGGTTAGATCTTCAAACCCTGATGTTGGGAACAGACTTGAAAAGAAACAAATTTCTTACCTCTGCATTCAGTCACCCCAGTAAGAAGGCAGAGAAAGAAAAGCTTCATAAAGGAGATGTGTACCTTTGTCCTTTTATCTTGTCTTGTCCCATCTCTTCTGCTATGATAATCTATTCATTTTATGCTGTTCGAATTCATTTCCACTTGGGTCATCTGAACAATCCTCTTTAATTTAAAGGATTTTTTGGCAATGAGGTGCATTCAGCAGGGTTCAGTTGGTTAACTGGCCATTAACCAACTGACTCTCTCTTTTAGGTAGCTACTACAGCACATTCCCTTCCAGAATCTTGAACGTTCAGTTTTGTAACTGCTGTTCAGCAAGAGCAGTTCTTCGTACAAATAAAAAAACTATGGCTGCAAATAGTTGTTGCTCTTGTGCCACCATTAAAAAAATTATGGCAGCACAGAACCTGAGGGAACAGACATCCCTGACCCTCGTCATGCCCCAAATATGGTGGTATAATGATTCCCAGTAAACAATTTGTGCTACCTTTTTGGAATAGATGTCTGCTCATTTATAATGCCAGAGCACAGGCAACCCTGGGATTGTCTGCACTTTACAGCTGCTCTAGGCAGGTGTTCCTAGGGTTTCAGGGGCCTGATCCTAGATGCCCTGGGTGCCTGGCCCTGATCCAGGGGTACCTCAGGGAATCCTATGAGTTCCTTGCTCCATGCCTGCAAGATGTGTACCTTGAGTACTCCCCCACAAGGGTTCCAGGGTGTGTTTCACGCTGTAGGGCAAACATATTCCTTTGCTCCGCAAAACAAAAAGCATGCCCTTGGATCCTCTGCAGAGGAATATCTGGGACACGGATCTGCAAGCACAGACTAGGATATACATGGGGTTCTCTTGCTCTTCAATGTGAAATGTATGCCCTGGGATTCCCTGCAGGGGAATTACTGGGGCGCACATCTGCAAGCACAGAACAAGGAATGTATGGGATTCCTCAGGGACAGTGGCCCACAGGGCTGGGCCCTGAAGCCCTGGGAGCAAGAGGCCAAATCCTATTGGACAATGGCCCCAGAAAACATCTATCTCTGCTAATCAATCACATCAGCTGTACCATGACACATCCTGGCACAGATGATCCCACCACAAAAATGACATTTGTTTGTAGCCTATATAAATTCAGTATCTAAAATTAGAGGAAATTTTTGACCATCTGTTCCTCAGTCCCTTGCATATAAAATACAGATAACACTACTACATCTCAAAAGGGTACTGGAAAACATGACTGTTTGAGAAGCACTCTAGTATTATAGGTATGGACAAAACTGCTTTAAAATGGGAGGTGGAGCTGCTGCATGGAGCGCATGTCGGTTGTAACAATCTGTTACACTGGCATGATTTTGAAACTATGGAAGTTAGTTAAATAATCCTCACTTTTATGAGAATGAAAAAAACAGTAGTTTTGCTACACTTGCTACATTGGTAGCAATATCAAAGGACACAACTGTTACATTTGTCTGTACCCTGTACATGCCATAAGAAAGTCTGTAAGAGCAGCAAATCTGTATTGCAAGCAGGGTGTGAACAGGATACAGAAAACAACAATTAATATATTACTAATTGAACAAGACTATCTAAAAACATTGACGCACTCTTCCTCAATCAGTGAGAAATTAGTCATTAATGAAATGATCACAATATCATAATGCATATGCACAAGACAGCAGGAAAGTCATGAGACTAAACTTTGCATGATGGTAGCTTGGTGGGATTTCCAGCTGGGGAGAGACTTCCTAAGGAGGTTTCTGCAGGAGCCCTAGATCAGATAGGGACCTACTCAAATTGCAGTTTTGCAATTTTCACAGAAACCATGGAAAACAGCAGTTTCTACAAACACTGCAAAAAACTGTAGCTTCCATGGGATCACCAGGAAACAAACAAACTTACTAAAAATAAAATGCTGGCTCTCTAGTGGGAGCCAGCAGCTGCTGTGGCCTTAGCTCACAGCCTACTGGGTAGGGGAGAGGTAGAGGGAGAAGAGAATAGGGGAGCCAGCAGCATGAAGGGGAGGAAATGAAGCATGAAGGATGCTGGGTGCTGCCTCCTCCCTCTGTCACTGATTGGCCAAAAGGGCTGCCTTTTGTGCAGTTCTGTGCCTCTCCACCAAACAGCAATGAAGGGTGGGGCTACAAGGGCCCCATGGCCAATCAGCAAGGGGGGCAGGATGACTCACCACAAAAATGGTGCTAAGAGCAGCCTCCAATTTTTATTTTATTTATTTATTTTTTTTTTTGCCTTGGCACGCTTTAAGTAGATCCCTAACTACAGAGTACCTGGCTCGGGCTCTTCACACCAAGCAAATAAATGGAAGGAGCCTCTTTCCATAAGTGACAACGGCAGAAGCCCTAAGAGGCTTTAGAAAATGCTAGGCAGCAGGATGTAGGTTTTGGGAAAAAACCTACAACACTTGAAAGTAGCAAGGGATTGAAGGAAATATGGAAAAAGCCTCATTTTTATTTCTGTTGATACTGAGTTATTTTAATAAATCAGATCCCAAACAGGGTTGCTATTAGATCCATACGTGCATGTGTATGCCTATGTATGGGAAGGTACCGGCAAGTTCAATGAGACAGTAGACTCACCTGATGCCAAGCCAGTTAAGCCATGTCTTTTTATTTATAAAACAAATTAAACATAACAGTCTAGGTAATACTTACATTCCAGACACTAATGATACTTTGAAAACATGTTGAACAGTAGAAGATGGATTGCCTAAAGCCACATTAAGTGCTCTGTCAATGCTGAACGCCACTTGACGAAGATAGTGTTCTGACTGCTGTCCGTAACCATCATATGGTACATAGAGGTAAGGAAAGATACCGTGTATGTGAAGACAAGTCTTCTGACCTAGAAAGAAAAAAAGGAGCCAATTTAGCAGCTTTTTCAAAATAAGCTACACAAGGTAAAAATATTCTGCAGAGTAAACCAACCAATGTGAATATGCAACACAAATCACTTCAGTCACCATTACACTGAAAGCTAAAATGCAGTATAAGTCTTTAGTCAGACAGCTACCACCTGTTTAATAACTGAGAAATGAAGTATCTGATAATCAATAATAATAAACAAAGCTTACCAAATAAAGAATTTCCCCATAACCCTTCACTTACCTACCAGTTGGGAGCTCTGCCCTGCAGCACAGCTGACTGAAATAATGTTTTTCATATTAAAAGATTCTTCTTTATTAGAAGAATGCAAGAAATCATTTTTTTGAGGAATAATTTTCCAGGAAGGCATCTGGAAATTGTTTATAAAAATGTTTCTGCATTGAATATTTCCCTCTATTTTATTTTCCCCCTCTTCAGGCAACTAGGATAGTCTAACCCAGTGGCGCTCAACCCTCTGGCCCTGTAAGCTGGCTGAGTGGCCCAGACCAGTCTGGATCCCGCGTGGGTTGGCGCACAGGACTGATCCACTGGTACAGTTTAGTGTGCAGCTGAGTGCACGAGGCCGGGCTGGCACATGGGACTGCCTGCAGGTCTGGAAATTCAGTGGTGAGGGAATGGTGGCACCACTAACTGCTGCAGCTCTGGAAGCTGCAACAATTAATGCTGTCACCACGCCCTCACTACCAAATTTCCAGACCTATGGGAGCCCCACAGGCCACATGAACCAGATTCAGCTTGTGGGTCACAGGTTGAAAACCACTGGTCTAATGCATACAACATTTGAAGCAAGGGGGCATAAACACACAATAAGGCTATGGGCACATGAACCAGGTACTGCAGGTTACATATTTGTAAGGCACAGAGTACTTCACATGCATGCCGATGATGATACATGGTACTACCTTGCCATAAAGGTCTATAGGATAACAGCATGAATACCAACTTCAAAGCACCTTACATACTGCAAATCCCCATCCTCATTTACCTTTGTGAGCCCATGCTCTAATGGAAAAACCCTATATGTATTTTACAATAACTTACTTGAAGAAACCCAGTCAGTGCTGCCCGTGACATTAGTATGCTTATTTCTAGAGGTATTTCCCTATACATGAAAAATCCACTGACAACACCATTCATTTAAATACTTCAGATGTGTATTTTGAAAATGAACATCTTAAGTTCAAAATAATTACTAAATTCATACAACTGATCTTTAAAGTAGTTTTTGAAAAAACAGAAAGAAATGTTGAGTCTTTTAAAAAAGCTATAGAAACACTTCTTATCCTCTAATCAAAAACAAAAAGACAGAATATTGCTATTTGAGGATCTGATTTTGAAGATATGAAACATCCTACAGGTTTGATGTCTCCCTGGTAAGACCTGGAAAAATTAAGTTTGTGCATCTCAAATCCAGTGTCTTTGTGCATCTTTTAAATCTCAGAATTCTCACATTTCTCCCCGCACAGAATATAAACTAAAAGCAAGTAAACAATTGGTCCTCTATACTTTTGATAAAGACACCTACTTTTTATCCAATGTATTTGAATTAGTTCTGGTCAGAAGGCAACAGAGTAATTTATTTATATTGGTGCCAATTTTAAACCAAAAACAAAGACCCAATTTATTCTTCGGTCTTTAAATCTGACATAACATTGCTTTATCTAGAATGAAAATGATATATAAAAAAATTCAACTATTTATATTACTTTGAATGTAACCTTCAACTAAAATGAACTCTTTTTGATGTTACATAATTGTATTTTACAGACAGAAAACAAGATGTTAAATAGTCAGAGTAAGAACATCATGCCCAGGAATCTAAGAATTCAAAAGAGGAGAGGTAAGATTTGCATTAGGGAAAATCCACACTTCAGAAGGTACCGTGCAGATAAAGGACCCTTGTTAATAGAAACCTGGGTATGCTGATATTGGATGGCTCTACTTTTGCTAACATATCCTATTCCAAAAAGATCCCTGTAAAGTAACCACTGGCAGGAGACATTATTTGTACAGTATTTTTCTTAGGTATGTTGCATCATGCAATTCAAGTCTTTAGTTTTCATATTTGAAAAGGTGAAAGAAATTTGAGACACCATGTTGCATAGGGATAGAACAACAGTGACTTAAGATTCATCCTCCGCTGTAATACTCCAGGTGGCTACCAGAGATCTAGAGAACTACAAATTCTGATGCTATAGAAGCATCTGTATTTTAAGCGCACAACTTGCTCCAAATTCATTTCTAATTGAACAAGGGATGATTGATTTTACTCAATAAATGGCACATTTTTCTGGTCTGCTTCATTCCTTCTCCAAAACAAATCATATACGACTTCTACCAGTGAAGATAAAAACTCTTCGCTGTTATATCAGGGAAGGCAATTATTTTGGGCAGAGGGCCGCTTACTGAGTTTTAGCAAACTGTCAAAGGCCGCATGGGTAGCCTTGCCCCTTGACAGGTGCCCCATCCCTGGTCACCATCTTGGGAATGGAAATCCCACCCCTTAACCCCTGACCTTTGTCACCAGGAGTCCCTCCCCTTGCCCCCTGAAGTACTTAGTTCAGCAAGGGGTTTTGCCAGCTCAGAACCAGAAAAATATCAAATTATATTCTAAAAAAAAAAATCAAACATCTACAACATCCATTAATTTGATTTCAAAAAATATTTTTGTCCTGATTTACATGCGTTTGTGTAGTGTACACAGAGATAACTGCACAATAGCTTAAAATGAAGTCTTATAAGGGCATAGGCTCCAACTTTTTTTTTTTTTGTCTGGGGGGGGGGGGGGGTAGGTATAGGTCTGTGGGCGTGTGCGCGGGTGGGTACAAGGGGAGGGTGGCTGGGGTTGTGCAGTGCCAGGGGAGGTGTGGATGCATGTGTATGGTGGGGTGTGCATGTGGAACTCATCCTATGTCACCAGACACACAGACCCTCCCCTCAGTGTGATCCCGTGCTCTAGGGAAGCAGCCAGGGGAGACAGCCACCTGGGTGGGGGCAGAAAAGCAAGGAACTGGCTAGGGGTAGGCAGGGCTGGGCTGCTCAAGCCTGGAAGCCTGCTGAGAGCTCCCTCTGGGTCCTACTGCCCCTGGCTCCTGTCAGCTTTGACAGGGAGCCAGGGTAAATAAATATTAATTCACTAAATTTTTTTAGGGGCTCCACGGGCCAGATAGAATGGCTTGGTGGGCTGGATTTTGCCTGCCCCGTGTTAAATTATATTAGCATTTAACTGAAATTGCAATAGATTGTGATGTACCTGTACTATAAGAGAGTAATAGGCAGCAAGGTTTGTCCTATTTTCCCAGTATGTTTAGCATTAGAATGGCTAAGTTATATAAATGCTAGAGGAGAAGGAGAAGGGAGGAGGAGGATGTTCAAGATAAACAGCAGAAAGAAATATTTTCATTTATTCCAATAAGAGTTCTCTACTTTTCCATAGCATAACAAGTATAACGTGAGTGGAGGTGTCATTTGACAGTTTACCTCCATGGTGTGTTAAAGGTATCACTTCTCTGGCAGCAGGCAAATTCAATCCCTGTACCCACTGAGTTTTTCTTCCCTTGCTACTGACACAGGGAATGAAAATTTAAAAATCAAGCCTCCGAGGTTTAGAAAAAGACCATGGCCATTAGCAAAAAAAATGGCCATTAGAAAGAGGACAGGAAATCAACAGTCCATTTCACAGACTTCTACACAGACACCAAACAACAAACCAGGGAAATTACTAACTGGGTTGGATGTGCATCTATGAACTTGAGCTGAAAGGCTCCTTATCTCATAACAGATATTTAAAAAAAAATTACAGTAATCTACATAGCACTTTGCTTCAGGCAATTTTATGCTGTCAATGTGTTTATTAAAACAGGAATATAATCTGTTCTACATTTATTACGTAAGGAAAAGTGTCATGCCCAAAAGCATGTCTAACATCTCTCCTTATACAGTTGGCCCAATAAAAAAAAAGTATTAACAAAGAAGCCTTGCTTCTCACATATTCCCTTAATCATCAGAGCTATAACACTCCTGTTCTACTTTGCTATACGCAGAGACACATACAGACAGTTATACTGGTGCAATTCCAGGGATCTCCTTTGCTCTCTTGCTATAAAATGACAACTCTGAGATTTCTAGATGCTACATTTTAACTGTGTATGAAATGTTTTTCCCATCAAAAGTTCTGGTTTTGATACATAAGCATTTTCTAATAAAAACATTTCATTAAAAAATCCCCATTTTTATCCTACCTATACGTGCTATGCATACATGCCACTTAAGTAACATACAACATGTCAGATATGACAGTATGAACAAATTAAGTGACACCACCAAGGTTGGCTGTGAAGATAAGTAATATTAAAAAACAGTAGGTTAGATTGACCAGAACATATATTTTGTTAAAATTAACAGTTAACTCCCAATTTAGAGTTAGAATTATTGTAGCTTCTTCCAGGTAGTAAATGGGGTTAAGGAATTATTCCTTCAATGTGTGGTAGGCATTCCCAAAGCACACCCTTCATATGTTCCTTTCATTAAGGCTTCCCCAAAGCTAGGGTAAATTTTAGCTGCCCAGTTAGGACAGTTTTGTAGCCTGTTTGACTGAAAGTTGCACAAATAGTCTGGGGGTAAAAATCTGGGCCAAAATTCCAATGTCCATGAAAACATGCCTCTTGACCACATACCAAGCTAGCATACCTTGTTTGAAGGCACATGGTTCCTCATTTCAAATAAGGTTTGATAAAAAATCTAAATATTTCAGATTTTTTAATTTAGTCATTTAAAATAATAGTTTTTCTTTTTCTATTTAAAATAAAATCTGAAAACAATGCAAAGTTATATTTTATAAATATTATAATTATATTTAAACATTTTATACTGTTTAGAATATTTAAAGAGTCAACATTAAAAAAAAAAAAATCAAGCTGAATCCAAAAGCCTCTATCAAAAATGAGTTATAGCTTGCAT